GAAGTTGTAAGACCACACCTGCAAAGGAAGCTCTTTTTTTATTCTAACTGTCCCTGATTATAGTATCTATCTCATCCCACAGGGACCCCTGGTGGCCTAATGGTAAGGAGCTGAGCTGCCAACCTGGAGGCAAGCTGTTGAAATCCACCAGGTGCTTCACGGGAGAAAGATGGGTGATCTTTTCCCATGGGATTTACTGCTTCTGGAAACCCCCTGGAGAGTCAGTTATGGGTTGGTTCTGACAATACACAACATCTCATCACACAAGTTGTAACCACCTGTGTATGACCCACTGGGAAGGAGTTCACTGTCAATTAAAAGTAGCCAGTTCGAATCCACCAGGTGCTGTGTGAGAGAGAAGGGGAGTTTTTTCCCATGCAATTTACTGCCTCTGAAAATTCAGTGGAAGGTCAGGTATGAGTTCTGACTCAGTGGTACATAACAACCACTATCAGCCGATCTCTAACAGACGAGAAAACCCATTTGTTGGGGTTTTTTTTCTCCATTTCAGGCCGTATTTCCCTCCCACTCTGTCCAGGACATTGTACTCTGCTCCCTGCGTGGCTGGTATGGCAGCTGGGCACCCTCTCCTCTGGCCTCAGGTCACGGAGGCAGAGGTCCCTGTTGTCCGTTAACCCTTTGGGTGTTCATCCCTCTTTGCTCCAGATGGGGAGAGACCAATTGCACCTTCGATGCCACGCCACTCACTGTCACCATCCCCACTTAGCTCCAATTCTTTTTTCATTATACCAAGAAGAAACTCTGTACTCATTAAACTGTAACTCTGAACTTTTAAAAAGTTTCTGTCTAAAACAAAAGTTATTCTTCTAATATCATTTTTAATCACAGACAGTAAAATATACATCCCATTAATGTACCATTTGGATGACATTTAAGCATGTAACTCGGTGGTACTGAACACACCCACAGTGCAGGGAACCATCGCCACTCTCTGCAGAACACGGGCTGCAGGTTCTCGAGCTCGTGTCACCAGGACCATCGCTTACGTCTTCTGCACTTTGCCTAGTGCAGCGTGACTGCTTATCTGGCTCACCTTGAGTCGGTGCTGGTAGCTCTGGTGCGTCCACTTCACCGCTGGGCACTCTTTTGTGGTGCACCTGTCACAACCCATTCTCCTGATGGGTTTTTGAATGGTTTCCAGTTTTCTAGAACAATCTAAGATAGAACCCAGGGTTGGAGCTGCCTGGTCAGGGGCTAGAGCAGCTCTGGTTTAATAGACATCTTCAAAGGTGTGTTTAATTTGTTCTCCCACAAACTTGCCTTCTTGAGCCAGACAGACAGTAACAGTAATGAACATATGGACAGTCGATTCAGCTTAACCAAATGCTGTGAGGTGCGCAGAGCAGGGTTAGGACCCCCTCTTAGCAACATTTTGAAGGTGAGGAACCTGTCCGCACTCAGTTCTCCTGTAGAGAGGCTCTGGCTAGGTGTCTGAGGCCTCGTGGTCCAGTTCCTCCCTACTGCTGACAGTGTACAGCTCACTTAAGATTTAGTCCTTTATTCGTCCCCTTTGTCCCCCCCCCCAGGACCTTCTGCAGAGCTTCTAATTAGAGCATGCTACTTCTCAGGAAATAGGTGAGCAGAACGCCCAAGGAGGCCTGTTTTAGTCTTTGACCTTACACTGTTTCAGAGCAGTGAGAAGGTACCAGATGCCCTAGAAACTCGGCATGCCCACCTGGGACCTGGAGGAGACAAGATGGTAAGAGTTTAGCCAGGAACCTCAACTCCCAGGGACGCTTCAGAGGGGCCCGGGGCAGCCTCTTCTCAGCATGCTGCACCCCGCAGAGGGCCGCCTTTAAACTGCCTTATGATTAGCACAGCCTTACTTTTTCTACACAAAGCAGTTCTTCATAATTGCGGTTTGAGTTGAAAGTGTTCAGAGCAGGTTCGCTTCCCATGCAATCCTTCCCAGGCATCCTGTTTTGTAACAATGGATGTGAATTCCACAATGGAACGGCACTGGCTGCTTCCTCCCTGCCTTCTCCATCCCATTCTCCTTTCTCTCCTGCTTCCTGAGCTTTGCTTTTGGGCAAACGCTGTCTTTGGTCTTATGTGATTGTTCTGGAGAGTTATGATGCTCATTTATGAGTGTTACTATTCGCTTCCTAGGCCCGCTGTTTGGTTGTCAGGGGATCCTGGGGGTTGGAGGGTGGCTTCTGTTCTAGGGCTGAGGGGCCTCCCAGGGCCCCAGGGTCAGGTTGCACCAGTTTCTGTCAGACCAGTAACTCTGGGCTAGTTTATGACCTGGGACTTTGTTCTGCATCTTCTCCCATCTGCCCAGGCCCTTCTGTGGTCAGCAGTGGTAGTTCATCATCTAATTCAGATTCAGTCTTTCTACTTCCTATGCCATCCCTGCATCTTGGGCTAAGGGACGTTATTTCCTTGGAAATTGGGAAGGAATGATTTGCAACAGGAATGTCTTCAGGAGCTGTCAGATTTGGTCAAAAGGAGTGACTCCAGGGCTTATCAGGAGACTCAGAGCTTGGGAAAGAGTCACTGAGTGGAGATTAGGAATGCAGCAAACTGCCCAGGAAGACTCTCAAGTCTATACAGGGCCTGGCCTCACTGTGAAGGTGCTGAGGGCAACTGAGTCAGAGTAACAGGAGGGTCAGACCCGACAGATGTGGGGCAAGGTACACAGAGCGCTCTCCACCGAGTGTATGACTTCTCTCTCCTGCCTGTAAGGTCAACCTAGTATCTTCTGGCTGCATGCTTTTAAGTCTTGTCTCTTTGATTTGAAAAACAGTCATCATTTGCTAAAAGGCAAAATGCTAACTTAGAACGAGCCCAGTACGATATTTTCTGAGGATTCCAGGTCATTTTTCAACTAGGAAGGGCCAACTTGTTTGTTGCGGACAGAATGGCGGCTCAGGTGAAACCGTGTGACAGGCACTCAGGACTCCAGAGAGAAGTCAGGGAAAGAGTGATCCAAATGACAGAGGCCTGTGGCTCTAGGAGTGACACATAGGGAAGGCTTTCACCTTAACCTTCGCTGGTACCACCTGCCGGCCTGAACATCCTGCCTTATCAGAATGCGGCAAGTCTTGGGTCTGAGGACTTTGCTCTAATTCCTGTCCTGAGCAGGACCATAACCAGGGCCTCTAGACCACCTGTTCTGACCCTGAGCTGAGTGCTCTGTTCCACTGGGAGAATCCTTCATCAGAGTGGAAGTGAATAAGCAGTGTTCAAATATAGCTTGTAAACCAGCTCTCCAGGGCTCTGAACTTATTCTTCCCATTTAGAATGATCAGCGGAAAAGAGTGAAACATGAACTAGAAAACTGAAATCAGAATAGACCCAAATTTGTAACATGTGAGCGTTCCAGATCTGTAACCTGAATGGAAAAAATTACAGGCCCGCCCCACACCCTGCTAGACACAGAGCCTCCCTCTTGAAAACAAGGGCGGTAAGATCTCTTGCTCTGCAGGGTCACGAGCAGCAGTGGCCAGCTCACAAATGACGGCTGACCTAACTGTCTGGATGTGTGGTTCTCTCCATCGTCCTGGCAGTCTCCTACATCAGGCACCTGGCAGGGCTCGCTAGGCCTCTTCTGACTCTTTCATTCTAAGACTTCAGTCATCGTTTTCCCCATTTTGTTGTCGAATTGGAGGCGACCCATAGCTGACCCTCTGGCAGGTTTTCAGAGGCAGTTAATCACACGGGAGGAGATTGTCCATCCTTTTCCTGTGGAGCAGCTGGTAGATTCGAACCGCCTGCCTTTGGGATTGCAGCACAGCTTCTTGCCACTAGGCCCCTAGAGCTGATTCTAGTACACCAATATTTTACAAAATCAGTTCTACTTTTACTATGTCAGCAATGATCAAATCTGTTTGAACAGGTTCAGAGCCCTGCAACTTTCTCACAAGGTCCATAACCACATAACTGTCTAGGGCTGACAATCAAGTCACAGTTACCATGCGTTCCTGACCACAACTAGAGGCCTGCATGGGCTCCAGCATCTGAAACCCCGAGGGCCTGTCATTAGCTCATCTCATCCTGATGTTTACTCCTGTCAGCTCATGTCCTTTATAGACTAGAAAATGGAAGCTCAAAAGTTGACACTTGGCCAAAGTCTGATGTCTTTGAAGCCCATCTTCTCTCAAACCTGGTCACATTTTCTGTGTCCACATGCAGGCGCGCGCGCACACACACACACACACACACAGAGCAGGCCCTGGGGTTTACTAGTTAATATGAATGGTCTCTTTCTCCTTTTCACTCTGAGCCACAGATTCCCCTTTTCCTTGCTGCTCTCACTATTCCTGACTCCAAGCGAGAGGTTGAGAATTTAAATTTTCCAAACAGTATAAAAACAGAACTGCTCTTCTGAGTTTTCTCTGACAAACCAAAAATGAAAGAATCCCGAAGGTGGGAGCATATCTGAAGACAACTTTAACTCTGGCAAGAGGGAAAGGCCCAAGGGGGAAAATATCTCAAATTTAGGAACAAGGCATCCTCATTCCTCGCCCTAGGCTGTGTTCACGGAATCCATTCAGGAGAGGTAAAGAGATCAAGACAGGCAAGGACAAGAGAGTGGAGATCTGCACAAGGACTTGACATTGCCCCAGCACTGTGGCTTCTTCCCAAAGTCTCGGGGCTAAGGTTGTGTGTGTGTGTGTGTGTGTGTATACACGTGTGTACACAAACCTCAGGGCCCCACCAGAAAATGCATATCCAGTCTGGTCATCTACAGTCACTACAGCTGGCAAGACACCACCCCCAGGCAGACAGTGATTGGCCTGGAACCCCGTGGTGGAATGGACGGGGCAGGCCACCACATTCCCCAGTTTCTTACACGGTCAATTTTTATTTCCTTTTTTTTAGGACAAACTTTTAAAAGTAAAAATGAATGAAACCACAGGAGAAATGGGCAGAACAATGATGTAGAAAAAGGAGCTTGCTGGGGAACCTGGGTGCGAAAGGCCGAACACGTCACATTGTCAGCAGGATTGTGCGGCGACTGGTCTTCCACCATCATGTCAGGGCTTCATCTTGCTCAGCCTGAGATCTCGCTCAATTTCAAACTGCCTGTGATCCACTCGGTCTAGGAAAGCTTTCCGTTCAATGTACCTGGAGGAAGAGAAGAAGAATCTGTGGAAGCCCGGAAGCAGCCTCTCCTGTGTGGCCTGGCCCACTGGGTTACAGCAATCTTGACAGACGAACACGGCTGCTGCCCACAGTGCTGTCCGAGACTCTTCTGGAAACATACAAACCGCTCACAGGCCACACTTCCCCTCCCACTGCCAGTGACACTTTTTATAAAATATTTTTTTAAAAAGCTTGAGTGAAAGTTTAGAAGTCCTACTGGTTTTACATGCAGTCATTACTATTTTATAACAAGAAATACAACTGACTACAAAGTTCTGGTGGCCTCGTGGTAAGAAGCTGCACTGCAATCCCAAAGACACACAGTTTGAATCTATCAGACGCTCCATGGAAGAAGGATGAGCGGTCTCCTTCCGTGCCATTAAATGACTCTGAGAACCCGCTGGAAGGTCAGCTATCGGCTGGTTCCAACTTGACATATGACGACAAAGACGACGACGTACTTAGCAAGCTCTGGGGCCTTAGTGTCAGGAGTTGCATTGCCAACTTACATCACCTACGTTTTGTGGCCGTGACAGAGAAGTCCCCGCCTATGGACATAGTCAAGTTATCACCAACTGGCTTTTTTGGTTTTTATATCTTATTGTTAGTGATACATATGCACATACATACTAAAATACCAGTATGTTTCTATGTAGCATTCAAACCCCAAAGAGAAGTAAGGATGGGATTTATAGATATGGATAATAAAAATGAAAAAATAAAAAGCAGTATTTGACTTCTATCAGAACCGACCCATGGCAGTGCCATCGGATGGAGCCCCGTCCTAAGCTGGGGACTACTTGGAGATAAAGCTGTAAGCTGACTACATTTTGGTTCCTCGCCTGCTCCTCTCTGCTGGATGGCAGAGGGGCCTGTCCTCACTGCCCCTGAGGGCACGCCCTTGCTCTGCACCAGAGGTCCTTAAAGGCCAGGTGTCCAGGCTCCCTGAGCTGGGCGCGTGAGCACACACCGGCCTCTCAGATGGGAGGCAGGCAGGCCCACTGCCAGGGACCAGCTGGCTGCTTGATGAGACATAGCTGCATCCTAATGCACCTTCATGCTATAACGGGTCCTGCGATTTGCCTGGGGGAGGGGGAGCTCTGCTGCTAATTGATCTACTGAGAGAGTGGAATTACCACTGAAGGTGGAAGTCATAATTGAGTCTGCAATGATTTCTGTCTTGTGGCACAGTCGGCCCACTAAGGAGGCTCAGGACCTCTGGGCCTCTGGAGGGTGAACTTCGCTTTCTCTCCTCAGGCCCCCTGAGAAGTCCTGGCCAAGCCCTCTACCCTCGGTCACTAACGAGAAGGATCTCTGAGGTCAGAGGCTCCAAGTCCTGGGAAAAAACCACATAATGCTGTAAATCCTCAATTTTGTTTAAAAAAAAGGTGGGGAGGGGTAAGCCCCTTCTCTGAAGGGCTGCTGTAACCACAAAATGCAGCACAAAATGTGTGTGTAAGACCTCGGACAGTAGTGACAAAAGCAAATGTTTATCGCCACTGTTGTAGAGGCCAGCTACCCTGGGGCCCTGGATTCATCATGTGATCCCAGAGACCAGCTCTCCTGACACATAAGCCCAGGGGTGGAGAGGTGGCTGTGTCAGCACCATTGGTGAGAGGCCAGACACCCTCGGGGTAGGGGTTGTCACAGTCACCTGGGAAAAATACAGGGCACTTAGTGAAATCTGATGCCAGACAACTGGATTTTGGGAGAAGTAGGTCCCAGTTCATTAACTATTGTTTCTCTGACTTCAGTTTTCTCTGGGATCCAGGATTGCGTTTGGCAGTCCTCTGAAGGTGGAGAGGGGAGCTGGAGAGGGGACCCTGGCCCTATGTGACAAGTGCAGAACATATGGAAGCCTCTGCGCCTCTGCTGTTGTGTAGTACGGAGTTGGAAGTTTTCAGAGGCAGTAAATCACACAGGAGGAGACTGCCCATCCTTCTCTCATGGAGCAGCTGGTGGATTTGAACCATGTGCCTTTGGGTTGGCAGCACAACTCCTTTCTGCTAAGCTGGAGCTGAGGGCATGACTTTCCACCCAGAAACCCATGAATCTGAGTCCACCATTTAATGAGATCCCCAGGTAATGTGGAGGCTCACAGGGGCTCTCACCAATCTTGAGACCCAGAGTCTCTGGGTGGAAAGATACTCAGCGGAGGTCTCAATGGGCCTGAACTGATTCTGAGCCCTGAATGAGGAAGGCCTCTCACTCCTGTGGGTTCAGCTGCGACTGTTAGTTTGACTCAGCTTTAAGAGGGGACCTCCTGCTTGTCTGTGATGGACCCTTTCCAATTATTTTTTCCATGGTGTTACGGCCTGAACTTGCCCACGCACCAAAGGTGATTGTGAATTTGACCTTGAGGGTCCACAGTGACTGGTGGAAAGGCCTAAAAAGGTGGGGTGGCTGGTGCTGGGTGCTGAGGGCTCCCATTTGATCCTCCTCACCTTTCACACTAACTGGTCAACGAGAGTGTGGGGGCCGAGGTGGGAGTGGCACCTACACAGCTGAGGCCCTGAGCCAGTGGTCACGAAACTGTCCTCTGAGCCTGCACAGCCGCCGCTGGAGCCCCCAGAGGAACTCTGTGCAGAAGGGGCTCTGAAAGCCACTCAAAGACACAGCAAGCACCCTCCCTTCATCTTCCCACAGACAGCACAGCTGGGGCCACTGTGGGTTCCAGGGAGACCGGAGTGGACAAGGACAAACACATGGCAGAACAAACCCACTTCCAATCCCTCCTGCTCCTTTGTCCCAGCCCAGCCACCCTGGAGAGGTCAGCTGGAGGGTCAGAGTTCTGACAGAAAGTGTGGGCTCACCCCCCCGCCAATGCACAATGGTGACCCATACACAAGTGTGTCTGTTGCTGCACTGTGGGTGTGGACGCATAGAGGGCCTGTCTCAGTGCCACCTGGAAAAAGGGGCTAGGGAGGATGGACTTGGCCCTCTCGACCCTCCTTTAAAGAAGAGGAAGTGACACTCTCATGAGGATGCTCCCTGCAGGTCCTGGGAAGCCCTGTCCCACTGACTCAGGACCAGAGCTGAGACCAGGGTGATGCTGGTATGAAGGAGGTGGGTGTAGGCCAGCGGGGTGGCGGAGGGGTGGGAAGGCCTCGGTGGGCACAAGGGCACAGGTGCAGAAAGCACGAACGTTCTCGAGGGCAGCTGCTCTATTCCAGTCCCTGATCCCTGTGCAGCCGTGGTGCCGGCCCAGAGTGGACCCTGAGCAGGGCTCCCACCTCAGGGAACCCCCACCTCAGGGACTGGGTGAGGGGTGGAGGTCCGGCTTCCACCTGCCTCTCTAGCTTCTCTCAGAGCAAATCTGGGCTTACATTTCTCTATAAAATGGAAATAAAAATCACAACACACCATGGTCACCAGAGGAAAAGAGGGGGGGAAGTGCTTTGTAAACAATAAAACCGCCAACAGCTGTGTGGGAGGGTGCGAGGGTTTCCGCTTCCCCTTGGGCCACCGCTGCCTTTCTGCCCGGATGGCCCAGGGGGCGGGCAGCGTGGGAGGCCACCTCCAGCTGCGGCCAGGGGGTTACGGTCCTGGGCACTGTCTCCTAACAGTGCACTGGGGATCATGCCTCTGTGGCTCTTGTTCCCATCTGGAACTCGGGGGTCAGGCACTCCAGGATGCAGCCTGGTTCTGGCTAAGCACCCCCACCCCCCACCCCTTGTGGCCCAGTTCTAACCACAGCTCCTCTAGGCTGAGGTTAACAATATGAGCCCACAGTGCTGAGAACCTAGGGGATTTTCTCACTTTCCTTTCAAAACCAGGTTAGACACAACGGGCTCTGACATCTTTTTGATCTTTCAACCCAAATTACTTTCCTGCTGCTAATTTTCTTTTTATGTAGGCTAATGAGGAGGGAGACACAAAAAACACAGAGAAAGAGAGAAGATACTAACCACTAATGGGGACATGTACAGGGATGACAGGGACAGTAGTGGACAGCCCCTACTGTCTAGGAGAAGAACGTCCACCTTTGGAGGGGTGAGAGGGGGGTCTTGGGTGTGGGGACACCCTAAAGCACCGTCACATGGCCAGCCTGACAAGAGGCCTGCAAAAGGGCCCAGCTGGGAGATGAAGGGGTCTGAAGTGGTGCCCACAGCTGAGGCCACTGGAGTGGACCCTGCATGGAGCAGAGCCAGCATCCAGGCACCTGAGCACAGATGACCAGAAGGGACAGAGCTCGGTTCCCAACACTCACGAAGCCACAAGCAATGGCGGCAGGAACAAGGCTCCAATCATCGATCCTTGTGAAGGATAGTGAGAGGCATCCTCCCTGGCAGGGGAAATGCAGCTGAAGGAAGTGATCCCCCCACAGCACTGACCTGCCCACCCCTGCCGGGACAGCATCTAACTTGCAGACACTGGTGGGCCAGGCTGAGAGGACAGTGATTTTAAGACTTTAATTACATTTCTTCTCCACATCACCTGGCTGCGCTGGGCAGAACGACTGACTCGGCTCAAGGGGATGGATTCTTCACAGAAAGAAGACAATTTTCTCTGGTAGCTCCACAAACAAAAAAGACCTGATATGTAATCTCAGAGCTCCATGACCTTAACCTTGACAGGAGCATGTATACTTTTTATTTTCAGTATATTGACTGTGTCCCCAAAGCCTGCACTCAGCACTGCTGAGAAGGCGTCCTGCTGATGAAGAAACTCAGGGACTGGGCTTCAGGGTCAGATAGGAAAGTGAGGGCAAATGCTCAGGTGCAGAGATCAGAAGGGTCTCCCCCAACAGAAACGACTTTAGTGCAGGCAGGCCCATCAGCTACATAACTGACTGGCTGGGTGGGCTTCTCCACACTGAGTGTAAATGCTGTACCCTTCTTTCATGGATGGTTAATTTAACCCTAGACAAAGAAGCAGTTCATTGTTGGATGGTACTCAGCTTAGTGCTCGTGACAGACAAAGCCTGGATGAAACCAGCCCAGGAGGCCTTGGAACATAAGGTAACAACAGTCTTTGCTGATCAGAAGCCAAGGGGGCAGAGGCACCGAGCACTGTGGCTGAGAAAGATTTCCTGCTTAGAGCTACGTAAGAGAGGGTCGTTCAGAGGCTCAGGATGGATGGGCAGCCAGCAGAGAGATCAATTCATTATGCAAGAATTTTTTTAAGTCTTCTAAGACCCTGGGCAAGAGATCAGGAAGAGGAGAGACAGATGCCCAAGGCCCAGCCCTGGGACCCACCAAGTTGTACAACCCAGAGAGGAAGGTGTCCTAGTCAGGGAGACTGCAGTGAGATGCCACCACTGTGGAAGACATCCCTGATGGGGAGCAGGATGGCATCGGGAGGGTATTTAAAGGCAAGGAAGCACTGAGCTTTCCAGAAGGGCCTAGACCACACCCTTGGCACTTCCAAGTGTGGAGCAGGAAGTGAGCGGAGGCCTTTCTACCTCCTTGTTATTATTTGTCACCTCTGTCCCCAGGGCATCTCCACATGACCCCTCTCTGCTCTCTCTGAGCATCTCTGTAAGAGAATCCAGGGGCGGACTTGTCTCTCCTCAGACGTCACTGGTTTGGTTCACCGGATTGGGAGCTGTTCTCTGAGGCTGTGGTGGAGTGACTCTGGGTCCCACTGTGCACCATAATAACTGAGACATGATTCAGGGACATGTGACCACCGACCTAGACTCTCAACTCAGTAGATCCACACAGGAGTGGGGGTGGAAGGCCCTGTCACCTGAATTTTAGAGAAGGTCCCCATGCTGAGTCAAGGAGAGAAACAGAGCTACTTCACTGGATGGGGTGCTGGGTGCATTTAACCCTCCTGCAGGGGCTGGGAAAGAGAATGAGTGGGGCAGGGCAGTCCTGCACAACAGGGGAGAGGAGAAGACAGGGTGGGGAGAAAAGAAGAGAGGAAAGGAGAGGGGAAGGGAGGGGAGGGGAGGGGAGGATGGAGAGGAGAGGAGGGGGTGGAGAGAAAAGAGGGGTGGGGAGAGGAGGGAAGGAGGGGCCTAGGTCATCAGAGCTGTACAAGCCAAACGCTGTGAGATCAGCAGGCACATGCAGCAGGGGAAGCAACCTGAGGCTGAAAGAGGCGCAGCAGGGCAGGTGAGCTCCATCCCAGCAGTCACTCCCTGACCCAGACACACCCTGTCCCATTGCCTGAAGAGAGCCTCAGTGGGCAGATGTCCTTCCTAATCTACTTTTCTCTTCCACTCTCCAGTTTATTAGCTCTGCTCCCATCTGTAGCTGCATCTCTCCTGACTTTACAAGACCTGTAGTAACTAGAACAGAGCAAATGTCCAGCCCACATCGTTAACACCAGAGAAGCAGTAATAGGTTACACGTGGCCTGCACCTCTGCTGCCTTGGTCCTTGGTTGACAGATACTAGAGCTATTCATGAAATGGGAAGCCCGACATCCTGCCTGCACACTGTGCTGGGCCGGCCCTAGAACACCACCTACTTCCACTTCCGCCTGTCTGGGGTATTCTACCTGACAACGCACCTACAAGTCTGGTGGTTAGAAAAGTTCATATAGTCATCTTAACATCTTTATAAACCTGTGGTCAGCTTCCAACACTCCTGAAGCCCAAGTCAGAAACGTGATGCCAAAACTCATACCGAACCTATCTTTGTTATACTGCTGTTAGTAACCTGGCTGACTTCCATTTAGCTCATGCTTTCTGTGACGGGCACCCTGGGAAGAGCTTTACACGTTATTTCATGTGTACTGAACACACTGCTGTTTTAGGTGCGCTGGAGTTAGGTCCAATTCACAGGCATCCTGTACAGAACAGAATGAACCCTGCCCGATTCTAGGCCTTCTTCATAGGCTGCGGGCGCCAAGCTCTCCGCTGCAGCCACTGTGACAATCCATCTCATCCCGAGTCTTCTTTTGTGCTAAGCCTCGACCTTACCCAGCATGATGTCCTTGCCAAGGTCTGGTCCTTCCCGAGAAAATGTCCAAAGTACATGAGATGAAGTCGTACCATCCCTGCTTCTAAGAAACATTCTGGCTTGTTATATCTACTTACATACATCATATAGATCATCTCATGATTCACAACCATCCAATGAGGGTGAAGTAGTATCACTGTCCCACTTTCACCAGTGAAGGAACTGAGCCCTAGAAAACCCTTCGTGGTGAGGGGAAGTATACAGTTGCCTGGGGGTTGGGAGCGACTGTGAACCCCCTTCAGCAATGTACTTGCTCCTTAGCTCCCTCTGAGGTCACTGAAGTACTCCATCTAATGCCTTTCTTTCTGTATTTTATTATCAATCACCGGAAGACAAATAAGACATGATACTTCTCTCCTAACTTTAATACATGGTTTTCTTACATTCTCTTTGGGAATTCTGGTGGCATCTGGCTGCCAATCAGAAGGTTGGCAGTTTGAACCCACTAACCACTCCATATGAGAAAGATGGGACAGTCTGCTTCTAGGAAGACGTACAGCCCCACAGAACTGATTAGTGTTATCTGCCCCACAGGGTTAGATAGAACTGGAATCAACTTGATGAAAGCAGGCTTGGTTTCCTATTTTCTGGACATTCTCTCTGAATTACAAGTTGAAGAGGAAGCTGGTACATGCAATGACCTGCCACAAAGGCTTGTTAATAAGAGTGAAGTGCCCTGGGTCACTGTGACGTGGATACCATCCAGACCCCGTGGCAGCTTTACTTTGAAAGCAGTGGAGCTAGCCTGGCTTCTGAGAAGGCCCCGTGATCGGGGTCAGGCCAAGGCCAATGGAGTGAGCCAAACCCCACCCTGAGAACAGCCCAGGTGATTACAGCTTACTGGAGCTAAAACAGCACGCTTGGCTTGACATGCTCCAGCGTCCTCTGAGTGTGCATGTCCTTGCTCCCCTGCACGTCAGGGGCTCTCTCCCCAGGGTCTGCCTCACAGCCTTCTGTGGACAAGCCAGGCACCATGTGAACATGAAGAGATCCCATCACTTAGACTGAGCAGTTCACAACAGATAATTCTGGGGTCCTTAGGATTTTCCAAAGAATACGATCTCCCACTTACCCTTCTTTCCCTCGATTATGGATGGCCAGCTCCTCCCCGATTCCTTCTTCCTCCTTGAAACTCTCCCAATCTAACTTGGATTTCTCAAGGGTGCTCATTTTCTGCTTCTTGGCTCCGATTTTCCCCAGGAGGCTGCTCATGCCACTTGGTCTCTTTAACCTAAGGAGAGAGAAAATGTGAAGACATATGTAAAAACTAGGAAGTGCTTGGTGAATACCTCCTGATACGGGCTTCTGGGCTGGAGCTGTTCATCGTAATGGGAGCCATGTCGGCATGCAGGCTGTTTCCTCCTCATGTGCAGAAAGCAGCCCAGAGGTCAGCGTGACTTCAGTTTGACATCTCTGACTGCTCTCATGAACTGGAGACAGAAATCCTACCTTTGCTGACAAGACATCTGTGTGGTCTGTGTGACAGCCTCCACCTGAAACGGGGGAGGAGGGTGGCTTTGGAATCATGTGCTGTGGTTCAAATTCCAGCTCTTAGGACGTGATGCCAGGCTAGTGATTTTTTTTTTTAATTATTTGTGTGTACCGTCAAATCAGATCTGACTGGTACAGGAGGAGAGGTACAGGAGGAGATTGTCCCTCCTTCCCCGGCAGAGCAGCTGGTGGATTCGAACCGTGCACCTCTGGGATTACAGTACAGCTTCTTGCCACTAGGCCACCAGAGCTCCCCTGAGGCTAGTGATTTTAAGGCATGTGCATAGGTTTTCTAACCTACAAAATGAATATGCTAACACTCAAGGGTCAGAGTGTATCTGCCATGAAAACTGGCTGCCACAGGGCAGGGGTACAATGACTAGGAGCCTCTCTGAATCACCTCCATCTCTGTGCACAAAAGCCCTGGGGGACTCTACAAGACAGAGGACCAGTTCCCAGTATTCATGAGCAAGAAGGCACAACATTTGGGAAGAACTCTAAACCTGTGTGCTCTCGCCTCCTGTGAGTCAGGGCCTGGATTTTCCCAGGAGGTGGAGGACATTCCTCCCTTAGTAAGTAGGAATGCGGCCTGCACTTTGCTTTCTGGAGCCGTGATTGTGGATGGTGGGACACCCCATGTGCCAACAGCCCTGTTCTGCCAGGCTTTTGTCCATGTTCAAGACAGGAGAGATTTTGAAAACCAAAATGCAATGGGTAAATTAAGGGAGGAACTATGAAAGGAACATTGATTTCTGTTTCTTTAAGCAACAAAAACATGTTAGTTGTTAGCCTGTAGGAAGCAGGACCTTTTCAGCTTCAAAGCGTGAGAGTTAGATCAAGAACTGTATTCCTATCACAAGATCTCATGATGACATTAATAATATATCTGCCTACGACACTAGTTCTCTGAGTGTTTGTTTACCGTCCATTTCCTCACCAGTCTCAGGACACCGGGTCTTGGAGTTGGAAGGGAGTCTTGGCAGAGATGCTGTGTCACCCTGATCCATCCTGAAAGTCTCCTTCCTGCTCCTCAGTGTCCCTGCTTCTGCTCTGGGGTGAACCAGCGGGCCGCATCCACACCGACATGGGGTTCTGGGGGCTGACTCTTGCCCTAAGCACCCTTGAGGGCAGGCAGAGGCTGTTTACTGTCCCTGTTGTTCCCATCACACCCCATGCTGTGATTAAGGCCAGGATTCTCCACCTCATTTTTGCATTAGACAAATAGACCAAGTTCAGAGAGGTTAAGAAACACAACAAAGGTCAACTCACTACAGCAGAACAAGCGTCCAGGCGTCCCTGGGCTCCCCGGGCGAGCACTAAGCTCTCTCTAAGCTGAGAAGGGGCCTCAGGGGGTTTCTGAGACAACTTTCCTTCCTCCTAAAGTGAAGACCTCACATAGCTCCCTACGAACTTTCAATCGACAGTCTCTAAAACTTCTTTCCAGTTGATTGCTCCATCAGGCTCTATGCACAGTACTACTTCCCAGAAGTTAGGGAAACATCATAAGCCTTGAATCTATTCACATCTCCCCTTGTTACCCTAACTGCCATGCTGTTAAATGCCGTATTCGACTACAATCCCAGAGGCGCACAGTTCGAATCCACCAGATGCTCTGCCGGGGAAGGAGGGACAATCTCCTCCTGTACCAGTCTGATCTGATTTGACGGTACACGCACACAAAAATAATAAAAAAAAAAAATTAAATGCCGTATTCGGAATTGACTCATAGCTGACCTTCTAGTGGCTTTAGAGGCTGTAAACAGCACGAGAGGAGATGGTCCGTTTTTCTCCTGCAGAGCAGCTGATGGATTCGAACCTCCTGCCTCTTGGTTGACAGTAAACCTTATCCACCAGAGCTCTCTTCGTCATTTTGTGGGTGCCACTGGGTCTACTATGATTCCTAGTAACCCTATGAACGAGACAGATCTGAACCTTGCCCTATCCTGCGCCGTCCTTGGCAACTCTGACATGCTCAAGTCTACTGTTAGTCACTGTACCAAACAGGAAGCTCTGGTGGCCTAGTGGGCAAGGAGCTGCGCTGCCCACCCAAGGGAGACAAATGGGCAGTCTCCTCCCACTCGATTTACAGCCTCTGAAAACATGCTGGAGGGTCAGCTATGACTCTCTTCCAACTCACAGCCCTGGCTGGCTGGCTGGCTGGCTGTGTTGCCTTGCTGAGGGTTTCTGCTCTTTCTGTTCCTCCAGCTTTTCTAGCATGATGTCTTTTTCCAAGGCCTGAACTACATGAGATGAAGGTTTACCACCCTTGGCTCTGAGGAGCACCCTGTTTGCACTTCACCTAAGACAGACCTGTTTGTTCTTTTGGCAGCCCATGAGGTATTCAGCACTATTCCCCACATCACAACTCAAAGGCACTACTGTGGTTACAGGCGATTCAGCAGTCTCTCTTAACTGGACTCCCTGATTCCTATCTTCTGCCCCTCACCAATTTGCTCTGTCTTGATTTCCACATGCTGTCAACACAGTGAATTTTCTCAAAGGTAAAGCTTTATCTTTCAGATTCAGTGTCTCTTTCCTGAGTTACTGCTCTTATCAAAAAGTCTAACTTTATCTTGCAAAATTCTTCTTGATCCTCTCTTGTCACATCTCTCCCTGTAATCTGTGTTCTAGCCACACAGTTGTGAACCCGCCCCTCTCCCCTGAGGCTTCCCCATCTCTGGAACCACTACCTCTCGGTGGTGGCGGTGGGGGTGGTGGCGGCGGGGGTGGTGGCTGCGGTGGTGGTGGTGGTGGTTTATTCTCTTCATTCTCACCCCAGGTTTTAGTGTAGCAGCTGAGAGCCTGGGGACTGGAATTTCGCTGCAGCTGCACCGGGACAGCCTGGGGCTGGCTGACTCACTGCTGACAACATTCCCCAAACACACCACCTGGAGTTTTTCTACTTCTTTCAATGCTGCAGGGCCTACCTTGTCTGACCCCACCTGCATGCTGCGAGCACTAGCTGGATGTGACGTGGACACCCTGCCAGGGAAAAGAGCTGGCAGATAACGATCCAGCTTCCTGTCCCCACGCGGGCAGTCCTGGAGGGACTGTGAATGCTGCTCCAGCTCTCTGCTGGCATCCAGTCCTCGTGGCTGTAAAGGCACTCTCACTTTTCCTGCCTCATTCACTCCTGTGTTCAAAGACTACTCCCCAGTCACATTATCCACAGCTAACAAGTCCTGGTCTTGGGTTCTGTCTGAAGGGGACCCTACGATGCCCAGGAGTATAATAATGTCTGTCTGATCCTGTATGGATAGCACAGGTTCTGGACCTTCGGATCTCTCCATACCTGTGAATGGAGAGCTGCAAACAGTAGGCACTCAAGAAAGTCAACTCACAGAACCAACCAGCAGAGGAGAATCAGACCCTTGTAGAGTAAACCGTGTCCAGAGCACCTTCAAGCTGGGGGCTTCTAAGGAGGACACATTTCTACTTTCATTCTCAAGTCAGTTCTCAAAAAGACTCCCTCCCTACCCTCTAAACAAACAAACAAACCCAAACAAAACCCAAACCAACTGCTATAGTGTAGGTACTGCCTCATGGTGGCCCGATGTGGTACAGAACAGAACTGAGCTTTATAGAGTCTTCTTGGTGGTAATCTCTATGAAAGGGATTGCCAGGTCATACTTCCTTAGCACTGCTGGGGAGGGTTAAACCACTAACCTTTTGATTAGCTCTAGTTATTGCTATGTGTCATTCGGTTGGAACCAGCTCATTATGTTTTCAGAGGCTGTATATCACAAGGGAGAACACTGCCCATCTCTCTTCCAAGGAGCAGCTGGTGGAGTTGAACCACATGCCTCGGGGTTGGCAGTACAATTCATTACCACTGTACAAATCATTTACACCATGTAGGGGTCTCTACAATGACTCAGGCTCCCCATTTTATCTGAGTGGCACCACTGGTATGCACATTTCTCCCCCTCAGGTGACAGTGCTGAGGACTGCTGCTCTGAGGGGCCTTCAAGCTGGCTCCAGCTCGGAGACTCTTTGTGTAACAAAACCCAACCCTGCCCAGTCCTGCGTCAGCTTCACAGTTATTACTGTGTTTAAGCTCACTGTTGTAGTCACCATGTTAAGTCATCTCATTGGGGTCTCCCTCAGGGACTAGTCCTTGTGATTTTAACCAAAGGTTACAGAAAAGTTGCATTTCCATGCATTTGTTGTTGCACATTATCCTCCCTACCCACTCCAGTTTACTTTAAAAAAATAAATCATTCATTGTTGCATAATTTCTTCCCCTCCTCAAGTCCACTTTTCTATGTACCTCTTATTAAGGACTGCTGTCATACAGATATTGCCTAATCATATATTCCTTTCAAACATTTCTTTCTTTCATCTGTTCCAGTGAGTGTTCATTATTTATCGCCTCTTCTCTCGGTTACCCTCCAACCCCCATGTCAGTCCTGTTTTGTAACAGTGACACTATGTAGTATTTGTCTTTTGTGACAGATATTTCACTCAGCATAATGCCCTCCAGGGTCACCCAGGTTGTGTAATATTTTACTAGTTCCTTGGTTTATTAGTTCCTCATACTATTACATGGTGTCAATTAACCATAGTTTTTTTCTATCCACATTCATTTGCTGGTTGGCACTTGGGCTGCTTCCATCTCTTTGCTGTTGTGAATAATGCAGCAATAAACACCGGTGTGCATACATGTGTCTGGGTGGCAGCTCTGGTTTCTTTAGGGTAGTAATGGTAATGGTCTTGTCATTCATTTTGCCTCTTCACTTT